GAGGTGGATTGATTCAGTGACTGGGGTAATCGGGATGGGTGTGTCAGAGGCAATGCGATTGGCACAGGATAGAGCAGGGTTTAGGGCTGTTGTACATAGATAGGGTCACTATGAGTCGCAAACGACTCGACGGCACATAACAACAACAACAGTGCCAAGAGTGTTGGTTGTGGAACCAAGCAAACTGAATTGTTAACAATCTCAATCTCTTCTTCATCTTCATGATATTTCCAATTGACCAGGTGGTTAGAATCTTTGTCTTTTTGATGGTGAGCTTTAATCTATATTGCAAACTATAGTCCTTAACCATCTGCATTAAATGTTTTAGGCTCTCCTCAGTTTCAGCAAGCAAATTGTGTCGTCAGCAAAATGCAGGTAGTTGATGAGTCTTCCTCCAATCCTGATGCCACATTTCTCCTCACAAAGCTCAGCCTCCCAAATATCATTTGAACTTGTATATGAGTAATTGGTGGTCTTTTCCATAGTCAACACTTGGCCTGGTTTTGACTGCTGATACTGAGATTCTATGATGATTTTTTCCACAGATGTAGTCACTCTGTGTAGTTACTGTACACACTGTCAGGTGATGTATGTGTAAATTGGCCTTTTGTGAGGTTTTTTTTAAAGTATTTGTGGTGAATAAATCATTGAACATATGAAATTCAATCATTCAATATCTGGTCTCATTTCTGTCACCAGAACTGAACTTTCTGACTACTATTTCTTTCTCATTGTTTCCATTTTAGCATTCCAGTCACAAGTAATTATTAATGTACTGTGTTTGTGTGTTTGGTCAATTTTGTATGGCAAAATCTGGTAGAAATCCTCAATATCCTCCTCTTTGGCTTTTGTTGTTGGTTCATATATTTGATTAATAGTTGCATTTATCAGTCTCCTCGTGTTTGTATGGATCATGTTCTATCACTCACAATATTGTACTTTTGGAAAGATCTTGAAATTATCTCTTTAACTGTGAATGCAGAACCTAAATATTCAATGTTATGTACCATTGAGTCAGAACTGACCCATAGGTGACCCACTAGCAGGTTGTCAGCGACCATAAATCACACTCCTTTCTTCCAAGGAGTGGATTCAATCTGCATACCTTTGCATCAGGAGTGCAAATCCTTATGACTAAGCTACTCAACCTCCCTATATACAATGCATTGCAATGCAAAGCAATACAATACATTAAATTCTTAATGCCAATCTTGATGAACACTCTCTAAATAGCTGTTTATTAAACAAATTTTCTTCTCCATTAGATTTCCCAAGAGGTATTTAGGCATATAACATTTTACATATGCTTATTAGCTGAACACAATATTAAATATTGCATTGAATCTATTGTCTCATTGTTGAACAATTCAATGACATATGAGAACTTCTTTATTTAATATTTTTTTAAAATTTCAGCATGGTCAAATTCTCTTTGGTTTAAAAAAAATTCTCTTTGGTTGAATATAAATTCCAGATTAATAAACATATCATTTTACTGCCAATGCATTTTTCAGTTTTCATTAAATTCAATATTGAGATGAGGAAGACATTACTTTTTTGAGCTCCTGAATTTATGACAAGATACTATTCCAACATAATATTTACCTTTATATTTTATTTTTTTTTAATTTTTTATTTTTTTTGTGTGCGTGTACCGTCAAATCAGATCTGACTGGTACAGGAGGAGATTGTCCCTCCTTCGCCGGCAGAGCATCTGGTGGATTCGAACCGTGCGCCTCTGGGATTGTAGTTGCAGCTCCTTACCACTAGACCACCAGAGCTCCCCTCAATATTTACCTTTATAATCTGTGTTAATAGTAGTGATTACATAAGATAATATTTGTACTATAATAAACTCTTGCTGATTTATCCTTTTTGAGTTTGTACATCTAGAGGTCCAAATTCAGGTTATCAGTTTTAGAGGAAGGGCTTTTCTTGGCCAGTTGTGGAGGAATATCCTTGTTTTCTTCAGCATCAACATCCTCTGTAAACCTCCATATTTTCTGGCCTTCCTTGATTTCAGGGAGTTTTGCTGTGTAGTGGCCTGGCTTCAAAAAAATGCTCTCTACTCCTGACAGTTATTTTTATGGTACTGAGGTCTTAAAGATTCTTAACTTAAATCATAGTCTTTCCAATAATCTACTATGCATCTAAGAGCTGGATAATGAATAAGAATGACAGGAAAATTGATACCTTTGCATTGTGGTGTTCGAGAAGAGTTCTGAGTATCCTACAGATGGCCAAAAGGACAAACAGGTATGTCTTTGAGAAAGTGCAACCAGAGTGTTCTTTGGAGACAAGGATGGTAAAACTTAATCTTACTACATTGGACATGTTCCTTGGAGAGGGACGTCAGGCTTGGAAAAGGGGAGCATTAATAAAAGAGAGGAACACCTCAGTGAGTGATCCAGTGTGTGCAGCAATGGGCTCAAGTGTATTAGACATGATAATGGTGGTGCAGGATAGGACAGGATTCAGCTCTGTTGTTCAAATGATTGGACTCCATGATACTTAACAACACCAAACAACAACAATGAACTATTTAGGAGATCCTCCTTAAACTAAGGACCTCGTTACTCAATCTCCTCATTGCCATCTTCATGTCCTTGTTTCTCAGTGTGTAGATGGCAGGATTCAGAATGGGTGTAATCAGGAAGTCCAAAATGGCAAGAAACTTATCCAGTGGTACTGTGGGAAATGGGAACATATAGACAATGATGCATGGTCCAAAAAACAAAATCACTACAGTGATGTGAGCTGACAGTGTAGAGAGGGCCTTGGACAAGCCACTTGAAGAGCGTTTCCATACAGTAATTAGGATAAAGATATAGGAGATAATCAATAAAAAGAAAGTTCCTGTGGAAATAAACCCACTGTTGGCAGTAATCATGAACTCTAGCCTGTTGGTGTGAAAGCAGGCAAGTTTGATGAAACTAGGTAGATCACAGTAAAAACTGTCTATTTCATTAGGTCCACAGAAATGTAAATGGGCAACAAAAGCTAACTGTGCTACTGAGTGAATGAGACCAATAATCCAGGCACCAACCAGAAGCCAAATGCACATCTGCGGACTCATGATGGTCAGGTAGCGAAGAGGCTTACATATGGCCAAGTATCTGTCCAAGGCCATGGCTATGAGAAGCACCATCTCAGATCCACCCAGGACGTGAAGTGCAAAAATCTGAATGACACATCCCTGAAATGATATGGTATTTAGCCCAGAGTACAAGTCAGAGATCATTTTAGGAACAGTTAAAGTAGAAAGACATAAATCAATGAATGAAAGGTTGGCTAATAAGAAGTACATAGGTGAATGCAAATGAGAATCAAAAGTCACAGTAAACACAACTAGGAGGTTTCCCAGAACAATAACTACATAAAACAGGGTAGAGAATATAAGGAGGAAGTGTTGCATTGGCCTATAGGTAGAAAGTCCCAGAAACACAAATTCAGAAACCTCAGAGTAATTTGCTTCATACATTGATTTGTTGTTGCCTAAAAGAACACAAAGAAATGACAAAATAAAAAATTAGAAATAAGTGTTAGTATATATTTGTTTTTAAAATTATAGTATTAAAGGATATCTTTTAAATTTGCCACGTGGAAAAGTTGAATGAATTTGCACTCTCATAATATATGGGAGTATCTATGTCCTCGTTGCATCCACAATAAGCAAGTTTTTAAAAAACTTCTTTTGTAATGTACGTAGTATAAAGTGACACACATGTTGTCTTATTCATGATCTTGTTGAATGAGAGTTTTATCTTTGAACTGTTTAATTTTTATTAGGATTCCTTTTGTTAATGATCCTTACATACATGTTTTGCTCATTTTCAAAAGGGTAAACCATATATTTTCCTTTTTAATCTCTTTGAAAATTTAAATTCATTTCCATCAAGTCAGAACCAACTCACAGCTCATTGGGTTTATGAGACTATAAATTGCCATGGGGGAGACTGCTCATCTTGCTCCATCTGAGCAGGCTTGAGAGTAGTTGCCTTTGGTGTAACAACATAACTCCCCATAGACTATGCACCAGTGCTTGCTTTTATCTATTTAGAAGAATTCATTTTATCACTGTCTCAATAGTTACTGTCAAATTGGAAATGACTTATAACTAACACTTTAGCAGATTTTTCAGAGGCTGTAAATCACATAGAGGGAGATTGCTGATCCTTCTTCTACAGAGCAACTGTTCTTGTTAGGTGCTGTCGAATCGAGTATAATTCATGGTGATCCTATGAACAACAGATCCGATTCCTGTCCTATCTTGTGCCAACCTCACAATGTCTGACATAGCTGAGCCCAGGGCTGCAGTCACTATATCTATAGTCCTGATTGAGAGTCTTCCTCTTCCTTACAGTCCTCCACCTTTCCAAGAATGATGTTCTTCTCTAAGAATAACCTCTCATAACAACACACTCAAAGTATGTGAAATGAAGCTTACCTATCCTTACCTCCAAAAAGCACTCTGACTTCACCTTCTTCAAGACATACTTATTTAATTTTTTTGGAAGACCAGGGGGTATTCAGTAGTCTCTTCCAATACCATTAAAACACTAATTAAGAGTGGTCATTAGATGCATAGATGACAAAGCTTCATCTTACATACTTTGGGCATGTAGTTAGGAGAGGCTCCTCCTTGGAAAGGGACATTATGCTTGGAAAAGTGGAGGGTCCACTAAATAGAGATAAATCCTAAACCAGATGGATTGACAGTGACAGCTGAAATGGGTTTCAATGTGCCAGAAATGTTGAGGATAGCACAGGATAGGACAAAGTTCAGATCTATTGTTCATAAGGTCACTGCAAGTTATACTTGACTTGATGGACCCTAACAACAACAACAAGAACAACAATTAAAGCAGTGACTATAAAAATAATTTAACATAACCGCAATGTCCACAGTACGTAGGTAATTTATTCATTTTACTCCATATATAGAAGGTACTTAGTTATTTATGTAGAAACAAAAATCTATTGACATTGCATAAGATATTAATTATATAAGATTGGTTAAATCATATATATATATGTATATATATATCAGCTTCTGGCCACTAGACCAGCAGAGCTCCCAATGGCTTATATATGTTTATGTATATGTATTTTTAATATGTCTTTAGTCAAACATATAATACATGGTTTAGTCAAACGTATAATACATATATTGTATTACAAAAACATAATACATACATTTAGTCAAACATATAATACAGATGTACTATTACATTAAATAATTGTTTGTTTTTAGCCAAATTATATCATTAATATCTTATACAATATAATTTATAATATATACATGTTCAAGCCCACTGTGGTAATCACTTAGTCAGATACATATTATGAAACATGTAATATGCATTCAGAATATCCTTAAGTGTAAAAATAAAAATATTTTTAAGTTCTAAACAAAAACCAGTTTTTAAAAAAGTGCTAACAGTTTTTCTGTGAATGGTAGATAAATGGTTAATTTTTCTCTTTGTTTATGTCATAAATATTAAAAATTAATTTATATAAACAAATTTTCATTGATACAATTCAAGAGGAGAGAAACACATAGTGTGAACAATGAGTGTTATAAGTATACAAAGCTCAATCTATTACCTCCAAAAGGCAGAGATCCAGTTTAAAGAAAGAAAAATGTGCACAGATAATTTAAAATGACAAGATAGAAAAAAATAGTCAATGACAATATGTAATGGTGGTAACAATGTTTAATTTATCAGTCATTAAGTTATTAAGGAAAAAGCCATTAAGCTCTTCACTGTGTTTTATTTTATCAATCAATAACAAAAGGAAGGAAAGAGAGCAAGAGATGATAAGTAGTTCCAGAAGTCCTTAGGATTACAATATAATAATTACTCTTACATGTATTATGTATTAAAAATGGATAACGTTTCTATAACCTAAAGTGTGCAAGGGAATTTATTTCTAATAATACAAGCACCACATAAGTGTGTACACCCCTTAGTCTATTGATGTCTTTGAGCAGT